CTACAGGCGTATTTTGGAGGAAAAGATCAAACATGGTAAAACAGTGCCCCAACATAGTCAAACAATGATAGAAACATCGTCACCAGACTATTGTTTTACTATCTTTGAGCATCCTCCCTGTAGAGACACGCCCGACTTGAAGCTTCCCTCAGGACCCCCAGTTCTTCCTGCCAGGCCTTTCGGGGGCGCCGAAGAAGGGGGCCAGGAAGAGGGGGGCTGGCGCATCAAAGCCCGAGACAAGTGCGCGGACTGGGTGGCAGAGGAAGCGGTCAAAGAAGAATAATAATCATAATAAACATACTGATCATGAGACGAAGGATAATAATAATAAGAAGAAGAGCAATAATAATAAGAAGGAGAAAAAGAAGAAGAAGAATAAGAAGAAGAAGAAGAAGAAGAAGAAGAGGGCGCCATGCGATCTGGGATACATCATGGCCCCAGCCACAACATCCGCACACCCTCCGTCCCCCCCTCTCCTGGACGCTCCGACTAGGAGGCCACATGCGAGAGAGCGTTTCACGGGCGCTTGCCTTGTGAAGATTCGGCGGCGCGTTTCTAACCCGGGGGCCCCCCCCCACAACATTCGGCGCCGTCGATCAGAACCACGAGGGACTCCCCTCCCCCCTAATCTCCCCCTTCCCCGAACCCCCCCCCCAGGAAGGGGGGGTTCGAACCTCCCCCCTCCCACGGCGCTGGCGCCAGCGCCGGCGCTGGCGGCGGCCAGCAGCGCCGACCGCGGGAACGCAAGGACGATGACCAGAGAGGGCCTAGAGGCCGCAGATGGGAAACACAAATCGCCATATCGAGCCCTCGCTCCCCAAAAGCAAGCGGGAGGCCCATAGGACGGTGCAAGAGACGCCCAAGAGGCGTCCAGGAGGCTTCACAAAAGCTCCTCAGACGCTCTCGAGACCCTTTGACGAGACCTCAAGAGACATTCATGAGAACTCTGACCGTCAGCCATGGCACGGTGGCGGGAAGACCCGAAGGCCACACCATCGCCACCACCACCACAAACCACCACACAACCGCCACCACCGCCACCACAACACCGCCACCACCACAACCACAACCAACACCACCACCACCACCACCACGACAAACCACTACACAACCACCACCACCAGCACCACAACCGCCACCACCACCACAACCTACCACCACCACCACCGCCAAAACAAACCACCACACCACCACCACCGCCACTACCACCACGACCACCACCTCCACAACCTATCACCACCACCACCTGCGCCACCACCACCACCACAACAAACCACCACACCACAACCACCACCGCCGCCACAATCACCACCACCACCACAACCCACCACCACCCTTACCACCACAAACCACCACAACCCACCACCACCAGCACCACAACCGCCACCACACCACCATCACCACAACCCAGCACAAACCACCACCACCACCACAAACCACTACACCACCAGCACCACCACCACCATCGCCACCACCACTACCACCACAACCCACCACCACCACCACAAACCACCACACCACCACCACCACAACCACCAGCGCCACCACCACCACAACCACCCAACACCGCCACCACCACGACCACCAGCACCACCACCACCACCAACACAACCAACACCACAGCCCACCACCACCACCACCATCGCCATCCCCTCCACAAACCACCACGCCACTACCACCACCACCACCGCCACCACGTACTACTACCACCACCACCAGCACAACCCACCACCACCACAACCACAAAGCACGACACAACCCCCACCACCACAGCCACCACCAGCACCACAACCGCCACCACTAGCACCACAACAACCCACCACCACTACTCACAACACCACCACCACAACCACCACACCACCACCACCACCGCCGCCACAACCACCACCATCACCACTACCACTACCACAACCCATCACTACCGCCATCACCACGACCACCACAATCCACCACGCCACCACCACCACCACGAACCACAACCACCAACACCAAGACCACCACAAACCACCACATCACCACCACCAGCACCGCAACCGCCACCATCACCACAACCTACCAACACCACCACCACCAAAACAAACCACCACACCACCACCACCGCCGCCACTACCACCACGACCACCACCTCCACAACCCACCACCACCACCTTTGCAACCATCACCACCACAACAAACCACCACACCACAACCACCACCACCACCACCGCCATCACCACCACCACCACAACCCACCACCACCCTTACCACCGCAAACCACCACACCACCACCACCACCACCAGCACCACACCCACCACCACCACCTCCACCCACCACCACAACCACCACCACCACAACAACCCACCGCACCACCACAACGACCACCACCACAACCACCACCACCGCCACAACCACCACCACCACAACACCACAACCGCCCCAACACAACCACAACGACAAACCAACATACCACCACCGCCACCAGCACCACCACCATCGCCACCACCACAACTGCCACACCACCACCGCGAAAAACCAACACAATAACCCCACCACCACTACCGCAACCACCACCTCACAACCTACCACCACCATCATCACTTCCAACCACCCCACCACCAACAACAACAACAATAATTTTAAGACTGTTCGCCCTTATATGCTCGAGTGTCCAATAACGCGTGTTTCACAAACCCTCGATACCCGCCCTCTTCGTCTTCGATCGAACCCCTTTTGGGGGATGTACCTGTCTTCCCTGCAGGCCGGGCCCCGGCAAGCTGCGGGGCGGCCGCGGACCGTCGGCCTGGCCAGCGGCAGCGCTGATCGGCGGGGCGGCCGCGGACCGTCGACCCGACCCCAAGAGGGACGGACAGGGAACCGACCACGACGACGACGACGACGTCGAAGACGACGGCGACGACGACGACGACGGCGACGACGAGCGAACGCGAGAGCGAGAGAGAACGACAGCAGGGCCACGAAGGGCACGAAGTAGGCCACGAAGGGCGACAGCGGGGACACGAAGGGAATGCGTATGGGGCCACGAAGAGCGCGAACGAGCGGGGGCCACCCAGTGCAGATAATGCGGGGCCACAGAAGGCAACTATGGGGCCACTGAGGATAGCAATTTGGGCCACGTAGGACAGTGAGGGGGACACAAATGGCGACAGCGGGGCCACGAAGGGCATGCACATGGGGCAACAACGGGCGCGACTCCTGGGTGACTGGGTGTCGGGAGCGCGGCGCTTGGGTAAATTGTAGGGAATCCCAACGCAAGGCCATTCTTCAGTAAGTTGCAAGCAAGTCTCCAGCGAGAGCGCGACTCTCCAGAGCGCCGGGAGAGCGATTCCTGAATAAATTGTATGGAAGTCCCAAGCGAGAGCGCGATACCTGAATAAAATGTGAGGAAGTCTCGGGCGGGAGCGGGGGTCCTGGCAAAATTGTGAGGAAGTCTCAGGCGGGAGCCGTTGTTGTTGTAACCCGGGGGCCAGGGGCCCAGTTTGAGCAGGAAGACTTTCCCTAACAAAAAACAGGGTGCGAGCGTCGAGGGGCACACTTTGACTGAGGAAGAATAGTATGCACGGGTGGGGGGGATCAACAATAATTATTTTTCGAAAATGAAAATTCAACCACCACCACACCACCACAGGAAAAGGGAGAGGTTCGACCCCCCCCCCCATCCTGTGACGGGAGGGGGGGGGAGGGGGGTCCGGTTCCGACCCCCCCCTCCAAGCGCCCACAAAAAGCCCTCTTTCCCACGTGCGAACCCTACCCCACAACCCCACGACTTGCAAGGGGGGACGGGGGGTTCACTTTGCTCGGGAGGTCCCGCACGAAGTAAACTCCGCCTCCCCCTTAGAAATCGGGGGCTGGCGGGGGGCTGGTGGGGTAGGAATCGCATGTGGCCTCCTACCGACCCTTTTCCCTGAGATCTGACATCCCGAAACATAGCAACATCGTGAGAAAGCACGGAGGGAACCCCAGACCCAGATCGTTCCGTCAGGGCCGGGGGCCCCAAAACAGCGCGAGGCTCTGCCTGAGGTGCAGGGCCAGGACCTCTGGGCCCATTCGTGGCGAGACCCTGGGCCGGGGACACCTCCCCTGACCCCCGACGTCATTACAGCAGCAGCTCGACCACAAGAAAGCTTCCACAAGAAACGCAACCCTGAGACCTCAGGACGTCCATCGATTCTTGGTGTGGGAGAGTCACGACTTCCCTGGCAAAACTATCGAACCCCAAGAAACCCAGGGCACCCTGGAGGGAAGCAGAGTGCTCCTTGGCACGGGCCTTCCGCTGCAGTCTGTTCTCACAGCGCCCCCGCCCCTCCCAGGTCTCGATCCATTGCTCGGGGTCCGCTCTTCATCCCGAGTCGCCGCTGGACGGTCCCGGGGCCCATCGAGGACCCCAGAGGCCGAAAACAGAAAGCCAGAGTCCGTCGCGCCTCTTCCGCGACGTCGACTCCCAGAAACCTCGACCCGTTCCCAGGGCCCGCTCTTCATCCCGAGTCGCTTCTGGCGCTCCGGGGGCGCGGCGAGCGCCAAGAGGGCCCGACACAGCAAGGCCATCGCCTTGGGAGGCAAGGCAGGGGGCTAAGGGGCAAGGACACTTAGGGGAGGGACTGGCCCAGGGGGCGGGACACATCGACCCGGAATCGGCGATACACTGCTGATATACCGCCGGCGATAGGAACCGGGATCGAAAACGCAGGCTCCTGGACAAGGGGGGGGCTATCGGGGCCCCCATCGGCGATCAACGGGCACGTGGGGGTCGATGCGTTCCCCTCCTGAGCTGGCTCCCGTCTCCGATGGTTCTCGGGCCATAACTTGGCCTTCTGGCGGCCGTTCGGGGCGATCCGGGCACCTCCAGAATCCTCTCGGTTTCGTGCGTTCATGTTTCGCACGATGCTCCTCGATGGCCCTCGCAACAACAACAACAAAAACGTCTGAGCGATATCGAACCCCCAACGCTGCCCCTGAGGTCTGCCCATGGCAGCACCCCGGGGCCCTGGGCAGCGCACGGGTCCTGTGCAGCTGCTGCAGCTCGGAGGAGGCCGACCGTCCCACGCCCTCGGTGAGGGCGCCAGCTGCACTCTTTGCTTGTCGGCGCGCACAAGGGGTATGGGGCAGGGGGGGAGGTTTCTTTGGAGGAGGCTGCCTCTTAGAAGGCGCGGGCCTTCCATCTATAGACCAGGCCCGCGCCTTCTAAAGAGGCAGGGGTGGTTCTAAGAAACCTTCTTCCTCCCCCTACCCCCCTCTACGCATGGCCGGTCTGCACTGATCCTGGCCAGGTCCGTCCTCGGCCCAGATATCGGGGCATGCGCTGTCGGGCAGCGCGGGTACCAACACAGAAGGTGACTGCACGGTAGAGGCGGAAGCTATGTGGTGTGTCCGGCGCGGGGTGTGAGTTATGCGGCGTGAGCTGTGCGGTGCAAACTGTTGTGCGTGAGCTGCCTGCTGAAAGGTGTGCGTTGCGAGCTGCGCGGTCTGAGATGTTCACTGCGAGCCGTGTGGTATGACCTACGTGGTGGTAAAAGCAAGGCAGTGCAAAATCTATGCGGTGCAATTAATTTCTGTTCGCAATGAATTGTCCACTCCACTGCTCGCGCAAACGTCCCACCCACCCACCCGCAACTTGGTTTGCAAAATCTCTCAAGACCGTGACGGTGGGTACCAAATGGCACTTCGCAACGACAGCGACGCCGACGACGACAGCGACAACGACGACGACGACGCCGCCGACAACGACTACGACGACACCGACGTCTCCAACGACCTCGACGACGCCGACAACGACGACGACGACGCCGCCGACAACGACTACGACGACACCGACGACGCCTCCAACGACCTCGACGACGCCGACAACGACGACGACGACGACGACGCCGACGCCGACGCCGACGACGACGACGATGACAACGACGACGACGATGACGACCCCGACAACGGCGACAACGACGACACCGACGACGATGACGACGACGTCAACGACGCCGACGCCGACGACGACGACGACGGCGGCGACGACGACGACGCCGACGTCAACGACGACGACGACGACGCCGACGCCGACGACGAAGACGACGACGACGTCGCCAACGAAGGCGACGACGAGGGAGGAGGGAGGACGACGTCGGCGACAACGACGACAACGACGACAACGCCGAGGGAGGAGGGAGGACGGCGATGACGCGAACGACGAAGAAGGAGGAAGGACGGCGACGCCGACGATGACAACGACGAGGGAGGAGAGAAGACGACGACGACGACAACGACGACGACGACGACGACGACGGCGACGAAACAGGAGGGATGACGACGAGACGCCGACGACGGACGACGACGACGACGAGGGAGGAGGAGGAAGGACGGCCACGGCGACAACGACGACGGAAACGACCACGACGCCAAAGAGACGACGACGACGAACACGACGAAAGACAGAGGACGACGTAGGCGACGACGACGACGACGCGGGAGGAAGGAGGACGGCGACGACGACGACGACGACGACGATGCAAGAGCGCGCGCGCACGCTTTTGTTGAAAATCCGTGTTGCGAAACCTGGTGTTTTGGTAGGTTGTCTGACACATGATGTTGAAATCCTTCCGAAACCGATGGGTTTTGAAGGATTCCGGCATACGCGCGCGACGGCGCGCGCGTCTGCACTTCGTCCCCTTTTTGTAGAGGATTCTCGCGACGGCACACGCGCAAGGGCCTTCGACCGATTTCGACATGCGCGCGCGCGAAGCCCGTTTGGTAGCATTTTGTGGACATCTTGAATAACTTATAGTTTTCTTGAGTTGTCGCAAGAGCTCGCGCGTAAGTTTGTTCAGTAAATCAGTGTTGCGAAACCCTGTGTTTATTTTTTATATATATATATATATACATACATAAGTGTTGGGGAATATCGATTGCGAAATCTTTCCGACACCGAAGGTTTTTGGAGGATTCCGGCATGCGCGCGCGACGACGCGCGCGCGCACTTCGTCACATACTTTGCAAGGGATGCGTGACCAACGCTATGTTAGAACAACAAATGTCCCCGCGCATCGTTGTTTAAACAAGGGAACCTCCGGGGGGGGCGATACCCGCCCCCCTGGGATAGTGTAAATTCAGATTTAGGATGGACATGTGGTCATACTCATATGTGATTTACATACCCGAAAGGGGGGGGGAGATAACGCCGGGGGGGGTAGAGTCGATTTTTTCCTCAACCATACTGTGGTGTTGGGTCCTCGTTTTGAAATGATAGCGTCCCGCGTTCGTTCCTTCCTTTTTTCCTCCTCCTCCTCCTCCTCCCCACCCCCCGTGGGCCCCACTGGCCCCACAAGGAGCTCCACCGTGGGCCCCAGTGGGGGTGCCCGCATGCGGTTCCCCCGCCCAGGGCAGCGTTTCGCAACCCCACAGGGAACCCCACCACAGGTCCCAGTGGGGGTGCTCGTATGCGGTTCCCCCACCCAGGGCAGCGCTTCGCGGCCCCACACGGAGCCCCACCGAAGGCCCTAGTGGGGGTGCCCGCATGCGGTTCCCCCACCCAAGGCAACGTTTCGTGGCCCCGCAGGGAGCTCCCCCCGTAGGTCCCAGTGAGGGTGCCTACATGGTTTTTCCCCATGCCCAGGGCAGCGCTTCGTGGCCCCATAGGGAGCTCCACCGCAGGCCCCAGCGGGGGTGCTCGCATGCGGTTCCCCCACCCAAAGCAGCGTTTCGCGGCCCCACAGGGAGCTCCACCGTAGGTCCCAGTGGGGGTGCCCGCATGCGGTTCCCCCACCTAGGGCAGTGGGGGCGCCCGCGTGCGGTTCCCCACCACCAACACTGTGGCAGGCCCCTCACTCAGAACGTGGCCCCATAGGGAGCTCCACCGAGGACGATATTCACAACTGCGGTACTCACAGCTGCATATGGATGGGTCATTCGCAAGGCTAATTTAAAGGAGAATCTATGTGATGCGTGAACAATGCGGTATGAGCTGTGCTGTGTAAGCCAAACTATGTGGTCTGAGCTGCGCCGTGGGCGTTGTTTCTGTTGCGCGCTGGCCACGCGCCCCACCTCGATGAGAAAGGGCGAACGGTGCGTGGGCCCCCGCGGGGGCCCGCAAAGTCAGCCCCTACTGGGCCAGCACGAGCAGCGGCAAACGGCCGCCACTCCTTCGAGTACCAGGCTACGCGCAGCGCCCACATTACTATCACGATGCCAATGCACGAGCCAGGCCTGCGCCCCGCTCGCCGCCACGCCACCCTCCCAGCTCTCGCCGCGCTTCGTCGTATCAGTCGAGCGGCTGACGCGTCATGGGGTGGAGGCCCGCCATTATGTTGGCCGCCCTCTGCTTGCGCTTCCTGTCGACGGCAGCAGGCTTCTCTGACCATCTTGGGCAGGCTCGCCGCGTCCCATCCGTCTCCCTCCAGCCGTAGGCGCCGCAAGTCACGCGCGCGATGTATCCGTGGGCTCGCCTCGCAGCATGGGGCTCCCCCATCGGCAAAGCCCGCTCCAAACAGCGTGGCCGATCGCGCTGGCGCCTTATCCCTGCCGCCGCCTGCCCCTTCGGCGGCGCCGCTCGCCGCGTCGCCCGTTTTTTTTTTTTTTTTGGGGGGGGGCCTCCTGGCGCCACTCCACAGGGGGCGCCTGGATGTGGCCGTCTGCCAGCACGCCGCCCGCAGGAGGCCTCTGGGCGGGGGGGCAGACCTCCGGCTCGCGGCCCCGCCCCCGAGGCCACTCCGCCGCTGCAGGTCCGCCGCCCTCAACCCCCTCTTCGCTTCGGCCCCCCCGCCGCCTGGCGCGCTCGCGCCCGGGCGCGTCGGCCGCGCGCGTCGCCGCTGCAGGTCTCGTGCGCCCCTGCCTCTCCTGCCGCCGGCGCTGGGGCTGCGCCGCTGGCGCTGGGGCACCGCCCCCCCCTCTGCCCTGCCCAGTGGCCCGCGCGCTGGCCGACGCCGCGGCCGCGACTGCCATCGCCAAGGCCACTCCTGCCTCGAGCCCCGCGAGCGCGCTGGCTGAGCTGGCGTCGGGGGGGGGGGGCTCGACGCGGCAGCTGGTAACGACATCCCCAAGCCTCGCCCTGCGCCTGCCCTGGCCGCCGCGGTCCAACGGCCTCCAGGACGGCGCTCACAAGACGACGTCATGCTGCTGTGCCCAAGGCCAGCCCAGTCGGATATCTCGCCCGGCACCTGCCCAGCCTCTGGTGCTTCGCTATCATCCTCCTCGGCCCCAGGCTGGGGCTCGCTGGAAGCGGTGCAGTTGGAGGCGGACCTGCCCTCGTGCAAGTCCTCGTCGGCAGCGAAGACCGCCCCGCCACCTCAAGCCGACCCGCCGCTAGACCTCTCGCCCCCCATCCGCCTGGGAGGCCTGGCCCTGTCCATGGCCAGCGCTTCCAGCGGCGCCATCGCGCGCGGCGTCGCCTCACCTGGCCATCCGCTCACGCCCGGGCCGCGCAAGAGAATTCCTCGCGACCCTCTCTCGCGCTCGCGTGCTCTGGGGCACTATGTTGTTGTCCGCCCCGTCCAAGTACTGCGAGCGGCCCCCCCCTGTCTGTCTTCCGCTGGGCTTCCGACCTCCATGCAACCCGGCGCTCCTCGGCAGCCCTTCGCCTTCGCCCCCCGTCAGCTGCCTCGTCCGTCGGCCCCTCGAAGTGCGCCGCGCGCCCCCGCCCCCCCCCCCCCCCCCTTCCAGCAGCTCCGCCACGAGCCTCGCGCAGTCCTCCTGCCGCGCGCCGTCCGCGTCCAGGGGGTGCTGGGTTGCCAGCCGATGCAATGTTTGGCGGGCCAGCTGGAACTCGCAGTCTGCGTCTACCACGAATGGATGCGCGGCGCACCGACGCTCTCTGCGCGCAGACGCCACCCCCTGATGACCCCGGACCGTCGATGGCGCTTCTCTGCCGCTTGCGCCACGCACTGGAGGGGAAGTCCTCGGATCGACTCTCGAGGACGTCACTGGTCCCAACTTCCACGGCCTTGGGATGGACCGCCCCTGGTGCAAGTGCTAGCTGGTCGCCCGGCCAGGCGCCGCGGTGGGGCAGACTGCTAACCCCGCGCGGAGCCTGGCTGTCCTTCGCCCCCAGCCCAGCGGAACGCACATCGCTGGCCATCTGGGAGGGTAGCCTGGATCTCGATCTCGGCCTCGCCGTGGAACCAGCACGGGTCGGCGCCGGCTGTGCTGCACCTGCCCCCGGCCCAGCGGAATACGCCTCCCGGGCCATCTGGGGCGGCAGGACTCGCCCGTTACTCCGAGCTCGCCCTGGGGCCCGCGCGGGCTGATGCCCTCTGAACCGTGGCTCCCCAGCCGAGCGGAATACACATCGCTGGCCATCTGGGGAGGTAGACCAGCAAAACATGTGGCGACCGAACCCGAGGCAGCGCCCCTACGGACTAGCTCGGGATTCTGCGTTCTGGCCAAACTTTTGGCGACTGAGCCCGAGAAAGCGTCTCGCGGACTGGCTCGGGGCTTTGCGTCCTGACACCTCTGTCCGCAGTGCGTCCTTCCCCTCGCGCGTTGACGTCGTGCGCCACGGTGCCCAGGCCGCTGCCGTCGGCGAGGTTGCGCCCGCCCATAGGCGCCACCCGCTTGCCAACGTCGCCGTGGCCTTCGCACTGGCCACTTCAAGGAGATAAGCCACCTTGTCGCCCAGGGTGCGGTGCTCCTCGCCTGCCGGTCTCAAGCCTGCTGCACACAGGCCTCCCTGAGCCGCTGTGCCCTGGCCGTCCCTGTCCGTCCGCCTGCTGAACACAGAGACGAGGTCATCCTCGACATGGCTGTCCAAGCACTTTCATAGTTCGGGTAGCACGGGCTCCGACACAAGTGTTTCTTGAAATTGGCCGTGACGGCGCGCCCGCCGCATCGCCGACACCCCACGCCTCCACGCCCAATCTCCCCCAGGTCGTGCTCCACCAAGATCATAAGGATCTGCGTGGCCTCACCTGTGCGCTGGCTCCGCAGCCCAGGTCGCTCAACTGTGCCATCCCACACTTCGACACGCTCGTGCCAACAGCCGGTGTTGTGGAGGGCCCAAACTACCTTCTCTCCTGCAGCCCGCAGCGCCTGCTCACGTCCGAGGCCCGCGTCGCCCTTGGCCGCCAGCTTGACAACGCTCGCTTGCCACATCAACACCAGCGCTCCCCCCACCGGAGGCCTGTCACGATAGCCACGTGGTCCGTGTATATCCCGAGCTGCTCTCGCCCGCCCATGTCATGCGTCTTGGCATGCCGCACCGCGTTCAGGAAGGCCCACAGCCCAGCACGCTCGATGGTCCTCTGAACTGACAGCTCCAATGGCGACCAGGGCGCCGCCAGCTGGCCCAACCGACGTGGTGGCCCATCCCGTCTGCGCACGGGCGCCAACGTGGCGAAACCTCGAGAAACCCAGCCAGCGCATGGGGCGCCCACAGAGCGCGCACGAGCGGGCACGGGCGCCACCGTGGCAAAACCTGGGGAGGCACGGGCATGGACACCAACGTGGCGCAAACCCGGAACACTCACATCACGATTGAATCAACCGAAATCAGAACTTCGAAGTGCAAGCACTGGTTGGGGAACAAGTGTGCCCCTCCAACCGTGCTCTCTTTGCCAAATGATTAACGATGCAGCCCGATGGTCCGAGAGATGCCAAGGAAAAAAGCCTGGAGTTAAATCCTGGCGCCCGCTGTGGACGGGGCTGCAAAGAAAGAGCCTCGCGCAGGCTCTCCGGCGACCGTTCGGGACGACCTGGGCACCCCTGGAAAGCCGTCGGCGAGGCGCAGCTGCAAGGGAGTATGCCGATTCTGGAAGACCGCATACAGCCATGCCCACTGAGATCCGGCGACGCGATAGGAAGTGCAGCATCAAAGTCAAGACCAGAGCCCCAGACCCAATATCTATGCCTGAATGTTCGAACGGAATCGACCTGCGAGTCCCTGGGCCCTCGCCGACAAGATCCGGCTCGAACATAAAATTCAAAAACTCCCGACGACTCGAACAACAACTATGCGCAAACCGTCGAGAAACAACGAGTGACTCTACACATGAAGTTTTACATTTATATATATAGTATGAAATGTACGAGTCTATGTATATGAAAATCGCACGGTCTGGCCGCACTCCGAGCAAGACGAGACAAGAAACATCAATCTGGCGATTGGTTCAAAGCATACGGATGGCACAAGGCAGGAGAGCCTGAAGTCGAATCGATGAGTCAGATCGGCGATCGAAATGAATCGAATCGGCGGAAATCGGCAGCCGAGTCGGGAGAAGTCGAATCCGCGTGAATAGGCAGGTAGCTGTCATCCGCCAAGAAATCATAATCCAAAATCGAATCGAATCGGAATCGGAAGCCATCGACACCGAATCGACGCGAATCGGGGGGATCTAAAAGAGCCATGACAAAGCCAGGTGGAGATCGTGAGAGCTAGCGATAGAGCGATCCGCACACCTCGGCCAGACCAATTTGCAATTTGCGTTTAATGATCCCCTTGCGAGGAACAACAAGCGGCATATACATACACGTTCGGAACTGCGTGCGGATGTCTTTGATCGGCGTTGACATGATATGAATAGCTCAGGCAACTTTTCGGATTTCCAGAATGGAACAGTCAAGCATCTTGGAAACCCTCGAGATGTTGGAACGTATCGTTATGATGACCTCTTGCTCCTCTGACCCCCTGGCGCGCCGAGCGCGCCAGGGGCAGCGCCAGAGGCGCCGCCAATGGGGGAAGCCCAGCGCGCGGACCGTCGACAAATTGTGTGTGCAGTTGTTGTCACGGGGGTTCCTGAGGTCCCCCTGGCCCAGGGTGCCCCCAGCTGTTCGCTCCATGTTGAAGCCCCTGGGGCCCGCCTGGGCCTTGAGAGGGGTGCTCTGGAGGCCGTGGTAGCCTCCTTGGAGGTCCATGGGGCACCTTGGGCCAGGGGCACGCACGTCTAGCAACACCCGAGATGAGCAGCTAACGCCCTCCAGCCTCCACCCAGTTGCAGACGTCCCTATCGTGGGCGGCGGCAGCAACCTCCAGGGGGGCGTCGCGCCGCGCCCTGGCGCAAGCCGCCTGCAGCGCGAAGAGCGCCTGCTCCACCTCGTGGAGGGGGCCCAAAATGGGGCTCCTCCTCCGCCTGAGCCATCTCCCTCCTCCTCTTCCCCTCCCCTCCTCCTCCTCCTCCTCTCCTCCTCTCCTCCTCCTCCTCCTCCCTCCTCCTCCTCCTCCTCCTCCTCCTCCCCCTCCTCCTCCTCCCCCTCCCTCCCCCCCCTCCTCCCCTCCTCCTCCTCCTCCTCCTCTCCTCCTCCTCCTCTCCGCTCCTCCTCCTCCTCTCCTCCTCCTCCTCCTCCTCCTCCCCTCCTCTCCTCCTCCTCCTCCGCCCCCCTCCTACTCCTCCTCCTCCTCCTCCTCTCCTCCTCCTCCTCCTCCTCCTCCTCCTCCTCCCTCCTCCCTTCTCCTCTCCCTCCCCCTCCTCCCTCCTCCCTCCTCCTTTCCCCCTCCCTCCGTGTTTTCCTCCTCCCTCCCCTCTCCTCCCCACCTCCTCTCCATCCTCCTCCTCCCCTCCTCCTCCTCCTTCCTCCTGTAAAACTCCTCTATCCTCCTCCTCCTCAGCTCCATGTTCCTGCTCCCTCCTGCGGCTCCTCTCCTCCGCCTCCTCCTCTCTGAGTCCTGCTCTCCTCCTCCTCCTCCCCCGTCGTCCTCTCCTCCTCCTCCTCTTCTCCCTCCTCTCCGCCTCCTCTCCTCCTTCTCCTTCCTCCTCCTCCTCCTCCTCCTCTCCTCCTCCTCTCCTTTCTCTCCTCGCCCCCTCCTCCCTCCCTCCTCCCCTCCCCTCCCCCCCTCCTCCTCCTTCTCCCTCCTTTTTTCCCTCCTCCCTCCTCCTCCTCACTCCTCCCTCTCCCTCCTCCTCCTCCTCCTCCTCCTTCCTTCCTCCTCCTCCTTCCTCGCCTCATCCTGAAACTCCTCCTCATCATCCTACCTCCTACAGCTCCATGTTCCTGTCCTTCCTGCGTGCTCCTCCTCCTCCGCCTACTCTCCTCCTGGTCCTGCTCCTGCTCCTCCTCCCCTTCTTCCTCCTCCTCCTCCGCATCCTCCTCCGCATCCTCCTGCTCCTCCTCCCCCGTCTCCGCATCATCATCATCATCATCATCATCATCATCATCATCATCATCATCATCATCATCATCATCATCATCATCATCATCATCATCATCATCATCATCATCATCATCACCATCACCATCAGCAGCATCATCATCAGCAGCATCATCATCATGATCATCATCATCATCATCATCATCATCATCAACAACAACACAATTATCATCAAAATTATCATCATCATCATCATCACCATCGTCATCGTCATCATCAGCATCAACATCATCATCATCATCATCAACCTCAACATCATCATCATCATCATCATCATCATCATCATCATCATCATACTCATCATCATCATCATGATCAGCATCATCATCATCATCACCATCATCATCGTCATCATCATCATTGGCACCATCATCATCAGTTTCATCATCATCATCAGCATCATCATCAGCAGCAGCAACATCATCGTCATCATCACTATCATCATCATCATCATCATCATCTTCATCATCAGCATCAGCATCATCAGAATCAGCATCACCATCATTATCATCATCAACATCAGCATCATCATCATCGTCATCAACATCAGCATCCTCATCAGCATCAGCATCATCATCAACATCCTCATCATCCTGAACTCAGCAGCACCATCAGCAGCATCATCATCAGCAGCATCATCATCATGATCATCATCAGCATCATCATCATCATCAGCATAACCATCATCATCATCAGCATCATGATCAGCATCACCATCATGATCAACATCATCGGCATCATCAGCAGCATCATCATCATGATCAACATCATCATCGTCATCAGCATCAGCAGCAACATCAGCATGATCATCATGATTATGATCATCATCATCATCATCATAATCATCATCATGATCAGCATCATCATCATCAGCATCCTCATAATCAGCAGTAGCATCATCATCAGCATCGTCATCATCATCATCATCAACCTCAACATCATCATCATCACCAACAACAACAAAAGCAGCAACAGCAGCCGCATTACCGTCAGCATCATCATCAACATCATCAGTATCCTCATCAGCATCATCAACCTTAGCACCATCATCGTCATCATCATCAGCAGGCGCATCAGCATCATCAGCAACGCCGTCGTCGTCGTCATCATCGTCGTCAGCGTCGTCATCATCATCATCATCACCATCACCATCATCAGCATCAACAGCATCAGCATCGTCGCCATCATTATCATCAGTATCATCAGGATCATCAGTACCATCATCATCACCATCATCACCACTACCACTGCCATCACCATCACCATCACCAGCATCAGCATCAGCATCAGCAGCATCAGCATCAGCATCAGCATCAGCATCAGCATCAGCATCATCATCCATCATCCATCCATCCATCCATCCATCCATCCACCCACCCACCCACCCAACCACCCATCCATCCATCCATCCATCCATCCATCCGTTCATCCATCCATCCATCCATCCATCCATTCATCCATCCTCTCTCCTCGTCCTGCTTCTCCTCCTCCTTCTCCTCTTCCTCGTTCCTCCCTCCTCCCTCCTCCTCCACCTCCACCTCCTCCTCCTCCTCCTCCTCCTCCTCCTCCATCCTGCCCCACCTTCCTCCTGCCTCCTCGTTGCCAGAGATTCTGTTCTCGGGAGTTTTCGCTGTTCTCTAATTTTCCAGCCTCGGGATGCTCTGCAACAACTGCGTCACGCCGAGGGCGTTCTGGTGTGCCGAGATCCTCCCGATCGGCAGGCGAAGAACCGAGACATGGCCAGAAGAATCTTGACGATGTGTTTTTCAGAATGCTCGGCCTCCGGGGTCCCTGAGTGGGCCCCAGAACCGTCAAAAGACGACGCAGAACAAGGGTCCATATCTCTGGTGGTCCATATCATGAGAAACTCACGACGCCGGGGATCTCTGCGTCCTCCCCCCTCTCCTCCTCACCTGTCCTCCCCCCTCCGCCTCCCTCGTCACCTCATCCTCGTCGTCCTCCTTCCCGGGCACCGGCGAGGCCCCCACAGGCCGAAAACGTTCTAAAATTAAGTCGGGTATGTCCCTCTACAGGGGGATGATCCAAAAATAGTCAAAACATAGTCTGGGCACTATTCTTTGAATGTGTTTTGGCAATTTTGGAGTATGTTTTGAGTATTCTTGATGTTACGTCGAAAATCCCCCTGTAGGGGGACACGCCCGACCTAATCCTAAAACCTCCTGTCACGGTTTTTTCCCACCACGCGAGCATGTCTGTGTGTTGCGGGCCATAACTCGGCTCTCCGGCGGCCGTTCGGGGCGATCTCGGCACCCCTAGCACGTCCTCGGCGAGGCGCAGCTGCTGGAGAGCATCGGCCGATGCTGGAAAACCGCTGACAACCACGTCCCCTGAGATCCGGCGACGCGAAAAATACAGCATGCTTCGAGTCAGATCAATATGTAAGGGTCTCAGGGCCCAAGATTATGCGACAAGGCCCGACTGGAAACACTGACTACGAAAACGATAGACTCGAAACAGAACACCCTATGCGAAAACCGCGGAGAGCCAGCGAAAACGCAAGGAAACACAGCACGTCTAACCACGACCCGTGCAACAGCTGGCGCCCTCCGACCTCGAACTGGTCGGAAACGTCCCTCTCGAGGCGCAAAGCGAGAGCAGGTCTCGGGTAGGGAGGCGCGTGGTGAAAGTGGAGCAGGCATTCCTATAGGCCTGCCACGACGTGTCCTAACAACGAAAACAAACGTCCTGAGAACAACATATGCTCTGGTAACGTGTTGTGCAACAACACCCGAACTTGGTACGGAAAATTGGGTACGATGACAAACGACACATGAACGGCAATCAACAAGGGGTCTTACGCGAGACGACGTACCAACCATACGCGGCGACTTACGCGGGCCGCGAGAGTTACTCTCTCAACGGTTTATTGATAAACTGCGCAGTGTGTTCTTCGCAGTGCTTTTTACGCAGTGCATTATGCGCGCAGTGTATCCTACGCAGTGTTTTCTACACGGTGCTTTCTACGCTGTGTTCCTTTGTACGCTGTTTTTTTGTGTCGGTTTTGTGTATGCCTTTTTACGTTGTATTTGTTTACGTGGCGATAATACGTAAATGTTATATTGTTGTGATAACGGTTGCTCCGGTGTTTGCCAAAGAACTTTCTGCTCCGTGATTAACGGCGTCTGCCAAAGAACCGCAAAGTATCCCGCAGGTACCTTCGGAGCACTTCGACGCGCATTCCATATTCCTTAACGAAAATTGTTCCTTCTGCAGGCGCCTGAAATTTTGAAGCTGAGAGCCCTCGGGCAAACAACGAGGCAACGCACCAAACCAGACACTTGCTGCAGACTAGACCGCGCCTCCCAAACAGGTCAATGCTGAAGCGCATTACAACACAAAAAACTGTCTGCACGCACGTCTGATTCCAATTCGCGGACCAGTTGTTTGGTTCTTGGCAGGCTCCTTGAAGACATCGTTCTTGGAAGCGTGCTCTTGCGGTGGAGTGTGAAGGAGGCGTATACACAGCTCAAACGCAGCGTTTCTACGCAGCGTTTTCCACGCAGTGGTTTCTACGCAGTGGTTTCCATAAAGTGGTTTCTACGCAACATTTTCTGCGCAACGTGTTCTGCGCAATGTTGTCTACGCAATGTGTTCTACGCCGTGTTTTCTACGCGGTGTGTTCTATGAAGTGTTTGTTGTTACGCTGCTTTTGTTTGCGCTGTCTTGTTTCAATGTGTATCGGCAAACTGTTATGATGTCATGCGGCACTTGGTGGATGTGTGTTGCTGCCGTGTTTGGTTGCGTTGCGTGTTTGTACGTAATGTTGTCTTGGAATAACGGTCGCACCGCTGTTTCCCGAAAAACTTTCTGCTCCGTGATTAACGGCCTCTGCAAAAGAACCGCGAAGTACCCCGCAAGTACCGTCGGAACACTTCGACGCGCGTTCCAGAGTCCTTCGCGCACCTTGGTGCTTGTTCCTTTTGCAG